CCCCCCCCCCCCCCCCCCCCAGTCAGCCACCACCGCGGTCAAGGAGACTTGAGGGAAAGGGTCTGGGGTCCCAGCCTCGCCGTCGCTCCCGGCCAGCCGGGCCTCACCTGCAGCGCCGTCTTGCCGAAGCGGTTCAGGGCATCGGGGTGCACCAGCTCACGGTGCAGAAGGCGGCGCACCTCCTGCACGTCGCCTCGGGCCGCGGCCCCGCTTAGCCTGTCGCCTGCGCGGACCTCCTCCAGCAGCATGTCGACGCTGGCAGCCTGCAAAGCCCCCCGCCCCACGCCGGCGCGGTCAGTGTGGGGAAATCCACTGGCGCTGGCCCTAAGATCTCCCCCGAGGTGCACCTGGCCTACGCGACGCTCCCAGCCCAGCACACGAGTCGGCCCTCTGCGCGACCCCCGCCCTGCCGGCGGGCTCCTCCCCCTGTCGGCCAGCGGGTCGCCAGGGGCTGGGAGCCGGGCCCAGCCCTCCGCGGCTCGCAGGGCCCGGCCCGGCGCCCGCCCCTTGGGGGACGGGTCTCCCCCCAACTCACCCTCCCTCCTCCTCCTCGACGGGCGGGGTCTGTTCTGAGCCGCCGCCGCTGCCGCCGCTGAGCTGGCCGCCAGGGGGCGGAGATAGCGCGCTTGAGGCCCCGCCCCGAACGCTGCGGATTTGTTTTCTTACGAACTCGCTACACTGTAGCCCAGCAGCGTTGCCCGGCGCGCGACCCGGCAGCGCCCCGCCCATGCGGCCAGGACAACCAATAGCAACGCGTCGCCGGGGGGAGATTTACGCTCCGGCCTGGGCGGTGCCTATCCTGATTGGCTGAGCCTCGGCGACCGGTGGACGGCCGGCAATGGCGGGGTTTTCGGTTTTCAAACTCGCCAGGCGGGCGGGAAAGACAAGCCGGTTTAACTGACCCGCGGGAGAAAGGTCAGGGGCAGGGTAGCGCGGGTTGCTTCGGGACCTCGGCACCTCGGGGAGGAAGGGAGGCAAGGCTGGGGCAGCCCAGTTCGGGGTTCCACCGTTCAGTCACGCGATAAGCATTTATTAGCCCTTACTATGTTCAGAGTGTTTTATTTCATTCACTCACCCAGTGTGTGCCGGTACCGTTTTCGGCGCTGGGGAGCGTACACTCTGGCAACTACATAATTTTAAAGAGCGTTAAGCACCTCCAAGAAAATAAAACGGGGAAATGGGGTGGATGAGAAGGACTCACGTTCTGGCTCAGAGTGAGCCAAACCCGGCACAGCAAAGGCCGGGGCGAAGGCAAATTCACGCTGCAGCCGCGGCCGCCACGTGGACGAGCCAGGGAGGCGAGAGAGCTGAGGTCGGAGGCGACTCTTGCAAATGCTTGCGTTGAAACATTTACTGAGCACCCTCTGTGTACTAGGCGCCCAGCTGGAGAGCGGGCCAGCCAGGTGGTTCCTGCTGCGGGACCCCCACCATTTAGACTGGGAGAAGACAGGAATTAAATCTTTTCAGAATGGTAGACTCCGTGGAGGTGATAAAACGGGTAAGTTATAGTCTCTTGGGAAAAGAAGGCCGTTGAAATAGGTCAGGGAGGGCCTCCCTGAGGTGACGTGTGCGACCTGAAAGGGAAGGAGCCATGTGACTATCTGGGGAAAAGCATGCCAGGTGAAGGGCATTAGAGCCACAAAGGCCCAGGTGGGAGCGCACTTGTGCACAGGAAGCGTGAGGTCTAGAAGAGGAGAGTGGGAGAAGGTGAAGGCAGCTAAGTGAGGAGGAGGGGTAGCACAGATCAGGCTCGGGTACTGCGGCGAGCGCTTGACTTTTAACACAGGAAGCTTGTGGGAAAGTTCTGAGACCCACGAGCTGACTTAGAAGTTAACAGGCGCCCTCTGGCGGCCGCAAGAGGAACTGACGGTGGTGTGGGAGCCGGGTTGGAGCCTGGGCCCAAGGAGAGAGTTGGTTGGGCGGATGCCACGTCGGGGGCTAGGGAGTGGATGTGTGTTGCCCATCCCCATCCCGGCACTTCGGGGGGGGGGGGTGTCCCTGGCATTCCCAGTCCCCAGTCAGTAATATACACAGCAGCCAGATTCATTCTTTTTAATACCATCCTAAAACTCAGGGTGGGCCAGGGTGGCCTCTGGGCTCAGCAGCTGTGAAGGAGGGGCCCCGACACCCCTAAGGCAGGTCACTGCAAGAAGGCACTCATGAGGGGGGCTTCAAGACCCTCCTCTATTCTTCATATAAAATTGGAGGAGTGGGGAGCCCGGAGGCAGAGGGAGGTGGGGAGACTGTTCCTCCTAGCCCGTGGGTAGAGAGAAAGGCAGGGAGGATGCCGGGTGCTGGGAGCAAGAAACGGCTAAGTCAGGGGCCTTCCCTCACACACATCCCCCATCTTCCTCCCAGGAAGTCTACAGTCCCAGCCTGGGGAGAGGGAAGGCCCCACGTCTAGGCCCCACCTCTTCTCTCTCCTAGCTTGTACGAAGTTGATAATCTGCAGGGAAACAATGAGCAGAGACCATCTCAGAATTGGGGAAAGGAAACAGACAGAAAGCCCTCCCCCCACAACCTATCCCCCACCCCCGTGCTCATGATCAACCCATGGATGTGTAACAAGGACAAGAATGGGGTTGTAACACAGGGAGAGTAACCATAGCAACAAGCTTGTTTCCAGGTGCAGATGGGGGTACTATGCGTTCACTCCCTTGCCCAAACCTGATCAGTGCCCTAGAACTGCAGCTGCCCCCATTTTAAAGATGGGCCAAACTGAGGCCCAGGGTGGCACAGGGATAAAGACAGGATAGGCCTGGGGCCAGGTCTGTTGAATTTTGGTGCCCTCCAAGCCAGAGCGTAGTCAAAGCCCCGAGACCATCCTTTTGATCTCCTTGACCCCAGCGTCCCAGGGAGCCCGGCTGCCTTACCGCCACTCTGGGTGATGTAGCGAACCCATGGCAGGGCCTGGTAACCGCTTTTCTCAATGATCTTCATGTATCGGACCTGAAACGGAATAGAAAGAGGTGGCCCAGGTGGTGGGGACAGGCTGGCTGTGGCGAGGGTACCGTGTGGAACACAACTCGGGGGATTATGCTGGCACGGTTGGGGAGTCATGAGGGGACATGGCTTGTGTCAAAAGTTTGGCACGTGCAGTGGGAGTAGGGGAAGGGGGAGGCAGCACAGGAGAGTGGGAAAGAGCACGGTGTAAGGGAACAGACACGATGTGGTTTTGGGGGGACGAGGCGACACAGGCCAAGGGAACGGTATGGTTTGTGGGTGGGTGAAGACACAGTGAACATACTAGTGGGGAACAAGATGGCACAGACCGGCTGCGGAGGTGAGGTGATACCGGCTAGGGAAGGAGCCAAGGGGTAGGAGAATGGGGAGCCCACTGCACTCACCTGGATCCCGGAGACAGTGAAGTAGGGGATCTCAAACTTGACCCCAATAGGGGGCCGGCCCTCCACCTCCTCCTTCTCCACGCTGGGGAGGCCAAAGTGGGCGCGCATCAGGTACTCCTTGCCCCCCTGAGGGCACATGGGGGCGTCAGATACACCAAGAGGCCTCTACACGCCCCACACTATCCTCACAGTGGCCCCCAAGCAGGCTCTGCTCTCGGTCCATTTCTGACAAGACAGTAAAAGCTCCTGGCCAAGATTCACAGCTGAAGGTTTTTGGTTGTTTTTTTTTTTTAATGTTTATTTATTTTGGTGGGGGGAGGAGAGAGAGAGCACACACGAACAGGGGAGGGGCAGGGAGAGACAGAGAATCCCAACCAGGCTCCAAGGTCAGCTCAGAGCTTGAACCCACAGACTGTGAGATCATGCCCTGAGCTGAAATCAAGAGTTGGACGCTTAACCGACTTAGCGGCCAGGTGCCCCTCACAACTGAAGTTTCTAACGACACAGCCTGGTCAGAGTGCTTCTCATGACCATCTCCCATTTTCCAGTCCCCTGATGAGCCCTCACCCCCCCCCCACCCCCCCACCCCCCGCCCACCAGATCCCCAGGGACTGATCAAATCCTCCGGCAGCCCCAGGGTGGGGTATCGTGATCCTGTCTATTTCACAGATGAGCAAACAGAGGTTCTGTGGAGGGAAGTGGGTTTCCAAAGGCTGTCTAGCTCAGGGAGGCAAGGGTGGAGAACTTGAAGCCAGGGCTGGTGTCCTCAAGACCTGGGAGGCAGGGACCTGCCAGCCTGGTTTCCAGCTTTATTACCCCTAAAGGATAACCATGTGCATGCATACATGGGTCTCCAGTTTATTCTCCACCTCTCGCGAGCAGCAGGGGCAGGCGCCTCAGGCCCCACCCCGTACTCAGTACCCAGTACTCACCGGGAAGGACTTAATACTCCAAATAACGACATTCTTTTCGGGCACGTACTTGGCACTGCCTACACTGGTCTTGAAGCGCGGGGAGTCGGCATCACTGGGCACGGGCACGGATATCTCCACGCCGTTGGCCACCGACTGCTTCTTAAACTGCCCCTTGGCCTGTCAGGGGAGAGGGTGGGGTGTGAAGAACTCACTCCTGCATTCTGCCAATGTTCAGCAAGCCCTTTCCCCACAGTACCTCACAGAGAGCCTCCCCAACCCCGAGGTGGGTACGAACGACCATCCTGCCCATTTCACAGGCGAGGAAACGGAGACGCGGGGAAGCTGCGGCAGTTGCTCGCAGACACACAGCCAACAAGTGGCAGAGCCGGGATTCACACCCACACGAGACTCCAGAAACCCCGTTCTTGGTGCCTTCCATTTACACCTTTCGCTGGTCTAAAATGATGCCCCTTAGCCCATCACACAGGAGTTTTCATTTGATAGCTAGCATTTTTTTTTAATTGTTTAATGTTTATTTATTTTTGAGAGAGAAAGAGGGAGACAGAATCCGAAGCAGGCTCCAGGCTCTGAGCCGTCAGCACAGAGCCTGACGCAGGGCTCAAACTCATGAACCGTGAGATCATGACCTAAGCCGGTCAGATGCTTAACTGACTGAGCCACCCAGGCGCTCCTATTTATTTTTATTTAAAAAAAAATTTTTTTGGGGGGCGCCTGGGTGGCGCAGTCGGTTAAG